AGTCGTATCGATCATCTGTTTAGCCATGGGAGTTAACCTATTGTAGAATGTCTCAAGTTGAATACAATAAGGAATGCCATGGTGAGAGCATTTTCTTAACAGCTCTTTGAACCTCTCTCATACATCAACTTCATCGTCCAATTGTTTAAAAAGACATATTTCATTTCTAGACTTAGCGTTCCTGGTGGGTGGAAAATATTTTTGCAAAACAATTCAGCCATATTATTCCATGATGGCAATAGAAAACCTGGTGATAATGAATTAAACCATGACTTCATCTGATCCCGTAAAGAAAATGGAAATAAAGTGAGTCTTAGAGCGTCGTTAGACACTCTCGGGATCAAGAAAGCATCAGTAATTTCCATGATAGATTTTAGATGTGAGTGAGGATCTTTCGATGGTAATCCAACAAATTATCCATTTGTTTGCAACATATGGAACATGATCGGTTTAAGCTCGAAACGGAGGGTTGTCATATGAGGCCTAACGATTCTTCCATTTTTAGAATTTTCATGAGTGATTATATTTGGATTTTTAACTCTTGGTTGATCATTATTTTCAGATTCTGTTGTATCATTAACCAAGTCATTATCATTGTGTGGTGGTTCTTGTGGATAGTTTTGAAACAGTGGTATTGGTGCAAAACTAGGTGGTCAATTTTCCAAACGTGACGGTGGCTGAGGTGGTGGATCTGCAATAAGTGAGAGAGGTAACGCCATATTGGGAGGGAGTAGAGCAAAAAATGCTCTTTGTACCCTCCTTCTTTGGCGGAATGTTCTCTCAATATCAGGATCAAATTCGAGAAATTCTCCGCAGTGTATATGTGACATACACAACTTTCAAATGATTTAAATGGGGTCAGAAAAATCAAATCTTTTTATTTTACTCTTAAAAATAACTTTTAGCTTGCTAATCCCCGACACGACGTCAAAAATCTCCTTGTGGCCACGAAGATTCAAATGCGGTAACTTCGGGCTACTCGCGAAGCGGGTGGTCGCCTGTGATTAGTCGGCTTGCATAGCGGGTTAGATATCCATGTTAATAAAAAAAATCCACACAGCAAGTATACAATGTGGTCCAATATCGTCTTTTCTAATTAATAAAGCAGTAAATTACTGGTTATCGTCCACAAAGATTGCAGTAAAAATCTAATAAAAGTTTAATGAAAGAAATGATTTTAGATGATGAACTTGAAGACTTTGCTTGGATCTGAGTTAGCACTACTCAAATAACATAATATCTAAAGGTAGCATGGGTGTAAGACTTGTGGTAAGACATAAACACAAATTCCAGCAAACAATGTTGTAGTAATGCTACAGCAAGCAGTTAATCATAACTAGTTCCACAATCTATTTTGAGAGTATTTCTCTTGGACTTCCACCATTGCACTTTAACACTTTAACAAGTGACCAACCTGTCGAGAATTAATTAGTTTGAAAGATATAAATGACAAGTCTCCTTGTCGGCAACTTTCTCAAGTCAACCTCTCATACCATTCAAATTAACGTACATTCAATGACTTATCTCTAAGACCATGACACTTTAACACTTTTAGAGTGATCAACTTGTCAAGAAATATCATTGGTTTTTATAAAACTTGAATGAAATAATGAAACATTGTTATTGCAAAACAACGTCCAGTTTTCTTCGGTTTAAAATCTCACCCTTTGTCTCACACCCAAGCTAATGGAATTAGCTACTCATTGCGAAAAGTAAATAAAAAGGAATATAAATAACACAAAGTAAAGATATAAATGTAAATGACGAAAAGTAATTGACAAGGAAAATAAATAAAGTAAAGACAAGATACAATGCTGCAACAATATAACTTAAAGAACTTTAAAGAAATTCAAGAACTAACTTGAATATTGAAAGTAACTTCAGATCTGAAGCTGATTGGGGGATGTTCAAAATGAGTTCCAAGGGTTCCTATTTATACAAAAACAGGGAAAAAAAAGACAAAATCCTAGGAAAAATAAGGTTCTTCAAAAGAAGACAAAAAAGTACAAAAGTAAAAAGGGATAATCACATCAATTACACCAAGTACTTTTTCTAAGAGTCTTCTTGCATCTCATCAGTCTTTAGCCAAGAGTTCACTACAAATTTGTCCTTATCTACGTACAACAGCTGAATTCACAAAGCTTTTTCAAAAAACCACACCATAAAGACCAATACTAGAATGTCGCAGCACAGAACAGTAGGCATACAAGTAAGGATTTAGCAATCCTAATTGTGTAAAGACAAATAAATCACTTAATTTAGCTCCGTGGATAAACAAATCAAAAATACTTTAATAAAAATGACTCAAAGCTAGGATAAAATAAAATAAACTACCTAGAAGTAAAGAAATAGGCGCTCTATGCCTTGAATAATCAATGCATATTAGGTAGCTAGTGAACCCACTCCCCCTAGCATGGAGTCGAATCTCAAACCTTCCACTCATTTTGCTAAGATCATTACATACAATAAAATTGGCTTTATAGAATGTCTAGATGCATCCTAATCAAGGTTCTAAATAGCATCAAGAGTGACATTAAGCCTTAAAAGCCAAAGTGAGGTCACAACATTTTTGAAGGTGTTACTTATAGCGGCAAATAGGGATGGCAAAAAAAATCGAAACCGACGGTGAAAACCGAAAACCGAAACTTTCGGGCCGGGTTCGGGGACATTTTATCGGGGACGAATTCGGGGATTTTAACGGGGACGAGGGCGGGGACGGTGATCACCGGCCCGGCCCGGCCCGATATGTATATATATATAGACTTGGGATCATGTGAGACCAGCCTGTTTTYGTGAGACCCGTGAGACCAACATTTTACACTTGAAACTTCACAGCAAAAATGCTGTGAAGGTGACTTTTTAAAACCTTCACAGTGTTTTTGCTGTGAAGGTTCGACTTTTTAAAACCTTCACAGTGTTTTTGCTGTGAAGTTTACGTGTAAAAACGTGGTCTCACGGGTCTCACGAAAACAGGCTGGTCTCACGTGAACCCAACCCTATAAATATATATATATATATATATATATATATTTATTTATTTTAATTTATATACATATATATATATATATATATATAATATCCTTAAAAAAAGTAACATTAAAATTTTAAAAAAAATTATCCACTTTACCTCAACAACCCAAATAAAGCTCACAAAAAGTCTAGTTTATTTGTCAAAAACCATAATTTTAGTTGTATGATGTTCGAATTTTTTTTTTTAGTTTTATATTGTAATCTAATACATTGTTTGTAATTAGTTCAATTATGTTTGAGACATTTAAACTTAGATCTTTAAAAAAATTGTAATTTACTTTTAATTGTGAAAATTAACATATTGTAATTTTTCATATCGGTTTCGGGTTTGGGTTCGGTTATAACCAACGATGAAAAAGAGAATTTTTACCCTTAACTGGTTCCCCAACGGGGATCGGGGAAACCGCGGAGATCCATAAGATCCCCGACGGGGATCGGAACGGTTACGGGTACGGTTTTAGCTATCGGTTTCGGGGACGGGGATACCAATACCCGGCCCGAACCCGGCCCGTTGCCATTCCTAGCGGCAAATCTCAATATCATATATAATATTATATACATAAGCATATGTTATCTACTATTAATAAATGATTCAATGATTATAAACGATTTAAAATAAATTATATATCCAAAATAAACAAATAAGGCATTGAAAATATAAGTAAAATCAAATATTTTGTTATAAAAACCATGCATTAGGCAATGACATATCTCAAGCTTAACGTGACGCGAGACATAAGCCTTGAGCCACGGCGTGTCACGGTGGTTGTTGCGGCGAGCCTTTTCGATCAGTCGTCCTAATAGAATATATACTTTATAGATCCACAAGTTTATAAGACCAAATCATAAAGTGTCTTATCTAATAGTGTTACGATAGATTTATAGTACATTTTTAAGCATTTTAACAAGTTTTTTATGACGTTTTTATAGTAAAGTGTTGTATTAGCTATTTTCTAGGACAAGTTTGAGAATTGTTCTATAAACTCATCTTTTTATAAGACACTTATGTTTATATGACACTTTTTCAAATAATATCGTATAAAATAACCATTACGATACTTTATTTTAAAATCGTTCTAAAAAACTTGTTAAACTCCAAAAGTGACATATAAACCTATCGTAACACTTTTAGATAAAAACGTTTTTGTTTTGGTCCTATAAACATAAAATCATATAAAACATTTTATTAGTACGCTTAGACATTCTAGAAGTCTTATAAAACAAATTTTGTTGGAATGGATGTACACCTTCTTATCCGCTGCTTTATATAAAGCCACAAAGAGAACAAATCTATAACATGTTAGGTATTTGGTTTTGTCCCACATAGACCAAATTCCAAAACAAAGTGTGCCTTATATTACCAAGACTCTATCCACCATCAAATTGCCTAAATCATCTAGTTGGGCTCAAGACATATTAAATGTCAAGAGTGGGCCTTGGGGCGTTGTCCGACAGTTATTGTCGGTTACTCCTGTGTGATTTCTACACCTATAAATACCCTTTTGACTTCGTTTTTTGACAGAAGATATAACATTTTTCTGGGTTCTTTTCTCTCTCTCGATATCTATTTCAAGATGGAAGCATACGTTTGATTCGTCGGGTTAGCAACTATGAACGGATTGTTGAATCCTCTAGTCAGACATCCTAATTACCGATACGTGGGGCGAATTTCTGTCTAAGGACACTGAATAACGCGGGCCTCAATCCTATTCACGTTCTTCATCGAAATCGTTGCAACAATCAAGTTAGTATTTTGTTTCTGTTTTGATTTCTGCACATGTATATATAATATATACATACACACGATTTCACATATATATGCATATTTATATTATTGTTTTTCAATCAATAAATTATGTACAATTCTTCATATTTGAGTTATTGGATTACGAATTTCTATTGTACGAACTCTAAGATATAACATAACATATATAGGATAGACCCATGGATGGCCTTAAAAAGTCAATAGTACAATAAAGCTGCTTAATTTCTACATTAATGGTGAACTCAGAAACGGAATTACACAACTAAGTTTAGTTCTCCATAGTTAGAGTCAGTGAGCTCCACCTTTTCGACATTTTGGTACCTATACAACGAAGCACAAACAAGATAATAGCCAAAGTTAGCGATCCCAATTGCAGTCAACACCCAGTACACATTATCCATTCTCCCATCATTTATCCCATCAGGCAACCACCCTGTTGTTTTCCTAAGAAGATCAACCACTGCTGTGCCCAAATAGAATGCTATCCCAATAAACACAGCCACCATCGCTGCTGCGCTGCTCTTAAGCGACTTCGGAAACTCTTGATAATATAGCGAAACTTGTCCTGGGAAATGAAACGCTTCCGCAACTCCTACTGCAACCAGTTGAGGCACCAGCCAAAATGTGGACATGGGCACAACCGAATTGCCATTAAGCTTGTGGGTTCGAGCCATACTGAGCCGTCTTGACTCAACCAGCGCAGAGATGACCATGCTTGATATGGTGAGAGTATGGCCAAGCCCTATTCGTTGTAAAGGCAATGGGGTCCTGCCAGTAAGCCTTTGCCACGTGGGAATTAGGAAGCGATCGATGAGGGCGAGGGCAACAGAGGTTGTGATCATGACAAAAACTATCATACTCCCTGCTGGTATTTGGAAGTGGGATCCAAGGTGACGATCCATGGCTAAAGCTTGCAGGACTATTAGGCTCATTTGGATGGCTATTGGGGTGTTCAATAGTATACCAGTTGACCACAGAGGAGAGATTCTAATGAGGGTTTTTAAATCCTCCACTTGCTGCAATGTGCATAGGTTCCATGGTTTCATGATCGGGCCATCTGAGTCGGTATGTCCATCGGTTAATAGAGCTGCTCGGTTTAGGAACCTATAGAACAAACAAAGCAAGTGTTTGAAGTTAAAAATCTGAAGCAATTGACACCTAAATAAGACAATCTAAAGCAAAATCGGGTTTATATACACTAAAAATAGTTAATACTAGTTTATAGGGCTTAAGTTATATAACCAAATAATTGTGTGTAATAATTGTGTTTGAACGTCTTATTTTTTTTTTCTATCGACCTGGATATCCAACCCGCTATGCGAGCCGACTAATCTTAGGACGACCACCTGCTTTGCAGATAACCCGGAATCATCGCATTTAAACCTCCGTGGCCACAAGCGGATTTTTATTCCTCCTTTTGTATATTATAATTGTATATTTATAAAATAAAATGGTCACAATTACATATTTTTAGCATCCCATAATAAGAATTTTGTTGTTATGTAATCAGATGCTTACTTGAAGTTGTTTGATGGAGTTGTTCTAAGAGTCGTCTTTCGTCCTCCGTCCCGTGGCTCGTGGCAATAATCTTCTTTCTTGAATGACAAAGCAGCTTTCCTTTTTCGGAAAGCTACCACCATAACACAAGCAAGTCCAGTAAATGGACTTCCCCGTGGCTTGAGAAGACGAAAGTATCTTTTGCCAGACACAAAAATAACTAAACCCAGTAGGTTAGCTGTAACACATAGACCGAACCCAAGTCCCCAACTCACATTGTCCTCGACATAAATGATCCCGACAACGCTTACAAGTGTGGCTGCGTAAAACGTAAAAAAGTGCCAGTTAAAGAAAACCCCTTGATGATTCTGGTTATTAAACTGGTCCGCACCCATCGTTGCCAAGGTGAATCGTGTGCCTGCTGCTCCCAAGCTTGCAAGTGCAAGACTTGTGTATAGAATGGCGAGTTGCAGTTTTGAAGGGTTTTGACAAAAGCTTGATCCGGTTTCACATGGTGGAGGTTTCAGCATGTCGAGTATCGCGGATAAGGTTAATAGTATTAGTCCCTGTATGATATATTCAGTACAGACAATTATAAATACCGAAAAGAACACACACGTATACCCTGTTAACTGTCTTTTAAATCCGTAATGAATGGTTTATGAGGGCTCAGATTTCGTTATTACCAGCAAAGACAAAGATGACGAAATGACGATGACACTGAAAGATCCAAGATACGAGTCTGCAACGACTGCAGCCACGATGGGAAAAAGATTGATGCAACCGTTGAGAATGTTTGCAATTTGAGCTGCATTGATGTTTTTCATGTTGAATTCTCGTATCAGATAGACGACAACATTATTGCTCCATCCTGCAGCCGCAAGTGTCAAACCAGCCATCGTTGCTACATCCAAAGTGGAAAGACCGAATGTTAGCGTCCCACATCAGCTAGACTTCAAACGCTTCTTTTCTATATATACGATTACGATGGAACCTCCCTTCTCTCATTAGGGGCTCTTTTAGAGATTAATCTAAGTACAAGGATTCTATATATTATCACTTGGTATCAAAGTCAAGGTCTCTCTAGTAACTCCACACTTTGGGCAATTTATACTCGTCTAGCCCCCTCTCAGCACTATGGGACAATTTGTGCCAATCTAGCCTCCGATGGAGGGGCTTGTTAGAGTTTAACGTCTGTTATATATGTTTGTCCTTTCATTCTTTTCTCAATGACTCTTTTGGAGTGTAATCTACCGGGGTTTCAAATATTCTCACATGATACCATAGGCCATAGGGACTCGACACTTTGGGTCAATATGTACTCGTCTAGCTTCCTCTCAATACTATCGGACAATTTGTGGCCCATTTAGCATCCGTTTGGAGAGGCCTAGCTAGCTAGCTCGGCTTCCTTGCGTGTGGTTAGAACAATCGAAGAAAAAAATTTATACATCATGAGTTCGAATCACACAGTTACTCCCATAACTATATGTATCGAATCACACACTTAGGCCCATAACTCTTTTGTATCTATTTGTGTATGCATATACCTGTCTGCAGATATATATATATATAGAGAGAGAGAGAGAGAGACCTATGAAGAAAGGGAAGGTGATCCAGCCACCATGATTGAAGGGAGGTGAAGCACCATCAATGGATACCGTGCCTTCCATGGCTGCAATATTGGTTGCGGACTGCAGTTACTGAAAAAGCGATAATGGGTGCCTCCTTGGCTCCCACAGGACAAACTAGTCTTCTGCTTATCTTTGACAGCTCAATCTCATGACTTTGTATTTGGTCTATTATATTATAGAAACGGTTTTGATCCATGATTTGAGTTATAATTTAGGGGAATTGAAGAAAATAACCGATCCATCGAAGTTGTTTCACTTTTTAAGCATGTCATAAACCAATTAATTAATCACAACGATAGTGTCTGATTGATTTGAGTTTGGCTCCAAAGGTCAAAAGTATAAGGAGGTCTCAGGTTCAAACCAAAGAGGAATAAAAACCCATTTGTGGCCACGGAGGTTCAAATGCGATGACTTCGGACTATCTGCAAAACAAATGGTCATCCTGAGATTAATCAGCTCGTATAACGGGTTGTATATCCAAGTTAATAAAAAAAAAAAAAAAACAACCAATTAGTTTACATAGAATCCTTCGCTACCTCTTCCTCTTTTTCCTTTCTTCAATTTCGATTAATTTCTAAAGTTAATTTTTGTTGTGCTTTTACAACAATAAATATTTATTTGAAATAAAATTAATAAAGCAATTAATATTTGTATAGCTTATTATTTTAAGAAGACCTTATAATAATACTTTGAAACTTATTATTTTTGTTATGTGTATAATTTTGTCAAACATGTTTACTCAAAAAATTGGTTGTGGATTTGTTGCTATGTAGAGAGCAATAGAGCATCTCATCATCACCAAAATTTCATTTTTATATCAATTTAGACACAATTTATTACAATTCTACACCGATGTAGATGAAATGTACAACAAATTTGGTATTTAATATTTATGTAAGTTTGATGTCTAAATAATTTTAGTTTATTTGATACAAATGCTATTTTAGTTATAATATTTATTAATATTATATTATAAATTATACTTATATTGGTTCATATATGATATAGAAGAGGTTTACTTTTCAAACCACGTTATTTGTACAAACCGTACAAATCTCATTCAATTAATTATAATTTTTTATTTTGTTTATTTTTTTTAATAATTATGAAAGGTTAATTAATCATTTTTATTGTGGAGAGTGTTAATCATGGATATTATTATCTTCATTATATTAATCTTAGAAAAATATATGAAACAGTTTTATTAAAATTTCATAAGTATTGTACGAACCAATTTCATAACCAAATATGAAACAACTTCATTAAAAATAAGTATTATATGAAACAATTTTATTTTTAAACAACTTCATTAAAAATAAGTATTATATGAAACAATTTTATTTTTAAACAACTTCATAAAAAAATTCATAATATTAAACAATGAAATCGACGGATGAGAGTGGTTTGCACGATTTATACCAATATGAGTGGTTTGCATTTGATCGCTCCTCATATGATATATATTTACGTATAAATAATAAAGCATAAAAAGTGACACACACACACATATGTCTGTATATATTATGATTCAAGAAATTAAAAAATACATAACCGATGATGAAATTTGACTAACACATAGTAGAAAATTGTATGTATATTGTTTGTTCAAATGTGTTATACAATTATTGTAACAAAATTTATGCGTAGAATTGTATAAACTAATAAAAGTAAGGATATTATTAAAAAGGTATATAAGTTAATAATATAAAATATACTTTTAATAATTTATTTGATATAAAAAATAATATAATGCATCATTAAAATTGAATTACTATAGTTTACACAAAGTTTTACACCACTTTGTTGGAAGAAATTGTATAAATGATTGGAAATGAACTAATACCATTTGAACAGTTTTACAAACCTTAAAACATTTTTACGTTTTTTTCGCGGTTGAGACACCTTTTAACGTTTCCATCTTTCTAACTTAAAAATCACATTAAGGGGCCGTTTACTCAATTACATACCCGTTAAGCGTTTACCGATAAGAGTGAACACTATGATTTATTTTGATGAGTAAGATTTTAGTACATCAAAACTTATTAAATGCAACAATTTACTGGGTCAGCGTTTACCTAGGTAAGAATCGTCATCCTCACTTACCTGATAAGACTCTCAATCATTCTCATCGCTCTTACTCGGTAAGATTCTTGGCCATTTTCATATTCATCCGATAAAAAAATTTATTTAGTAAGCATTTACCAAATAAATGTTCAATAAACGGCTCCTATATATTTTATTAATATGGATATTAACGTCATAACAATCTAATTATGATGCATTGTATTATCACTATATTTTTGCAAAAAACAAATAAACGAACTTTTTTATGGCCAATTGGTTGGTAGATGAGTGGTTGGTAGTGACCTTTCAACTTCCTTACTTTTAAGTAACTTTAAAAATAGGTGGCTTCAATTTACACGTGATTTTTTTTTACTTTTGTAATATAGTGTATTTGATCACTACTGACTTTTTTTCACTGACTTTGGCACCCATTTTCAGTTGCCTTTTTATTATATTTTTAGTTAGAGTGATTGGGATAGTTTACTATCCGTACCTCGACTCGTTTTATAGAGCCCTGTAGATGATACAGAAATACTTGGTAGGTATGGAAAGACTCGAACTAACTATTTATAGGTGGTGTTTGGTATGTATATATTAGATTGGACATGACAGAAAATAATTGAACTAAACATGACAAGAGGGTAGGACTGGATAAGATAAGACATGATTGGACATGTATCTGTTTGGTGTTTGGTACAACTAGGACTGGATAAGACATGACTAGACATGTTGTCCTTAAAAGTTGTTTAATGATTTTATATGTTATATAGTAGTTATAAATGACAAAAATAAAATAAATATTTGATTTTTTTAATTTATAAATATTTTTACACAATTTTTATATACATAAATACATACATACATACATACATATATATATATATATATAATAGTATCAAATTTTGGATAAAGAATTTGATATAATTAATGGTAGTTTGAAAACTTGATTCGTACAAAAATATATGTTTTATTCAATTTTGAAGATCCTTATGAATGGGCAAAAACACGTTGAAGGTTTTTGCAGTGACAATGGTTGTAGAGGTAGAGGTGGTGGTGGTTGGTGGATGACAGTGACTGTAAAGAACGTGAAGATGGTGAGCATGGGTGATGGCGATCGAAAGTAGTGGAAGAGGTAGTTATGGTCAATGTGGTAGAATTACTATGTGGTGATGGGCAAGAGTAGCGTAACTGATGCTGATGGTGATGGTGATGGTGATGGTGATGGTGGGTGGTGGCCAATGGTGGTTGAGGTGAAGGGGGCCGCCGATGGTCAGTGGTGGCTATTGGTGGTGATGGCAGTGACGACGAGCGATGGTGACCATTCAAACAAATACCAAATTAGGGTTATATCAAGTGAGGGTAGATTCGTAAGTGGTTTTCTGTCACATTCTTGTCACACATTGTTCCACCTATTTTGGTGGAACAAGAAAAAGCTTTTTTGTCTCACATTGTCCCACCCGATCCCAGTCCTTGTCCTTGTATTATGTCGCATGAAACATAAAACAGTAAATTATTGTCCTGTCTCATGTAGTGCCAAACATGAGATAGTGAGTTTTGTTGCGTTTTGTCTTGTTCTATCCCATGTATCAAACACAGTCATTGACAACATTCATACAACCTAGATTTTATTTACCAAGGCATTAGGAGAATTGTTTTTTTATTACTTTATATGCTTCTTAATTGGCATGAACTGATTAGTAGTAGCCCATAAAATTTACGGAAAGACAATTTTAGGTCCTACTTATTGGTAATTTATTGAGTTTAATGAGGCTCACAAATTATTCGGTTAACTATACATGACTATTTGGTAGTGGCTTAATGATATAGAAATTGGTTTATTTAGTAAGCTTCTAGGGGAGCTTTAAACAGAAAGACAAGTTTTTTTTTCCAAACTTATTCATCCCAATTAAAAACATGTTCTTTCCATTTATGAAAAATTTATTCTAAACAAAACATTTACAATTTATACAGACTAACTAATTCACTCAAACAACTTTATTTATACACGATTTAATATGAAACCAATCAAGCAGCCTGTTAAAAAAGGTGTGGAGTTGAGTTGAGTGGAACGGAGTGGGGAAAACATACACGCTAGTGTCTTCTTGACATCACTTGATATGCTTGTTTTTTTTTTTATTAACCTGGATATTCAACCCGCTATGTGAGGTGACTAATTCTATGACGACCACCTACTTTGCTGGTAGCCCGGAGTCATCGCATTTGAACCTCCGTGGCCACAAGGGAATTTGTGTTCCTTCTTGAATTTGAATCTGGTATCTCCAGGCACTTTCGAACTTTGGAGTCAAGCTTAAACCAATCAGACACCACCCTTGTGGTTTTGATATGCTTGTTTTTATATCTAAACGAGGGAAACTAAATGAAAATGAAAAATGGCAAAAAGATGCACCTTAACATATAAATTGTATTAGCCTATTAGGTATGTTTGGAAAACTACATGATAAACTAATTGACTTATAAACTAACTGATAAATTAAATACGTTTGGTAAAAACTAGTTAAAAAACTATTTGAAAAATATAAAATGAGCAAAAATGACATGTTTAAAATAAATAAATTTTAACATTTCATAATATTTTTAAAACAATTCTTTAATAATATAATATGTTAATTAATAGATTTTAATTTGATTTATTATTATTCTTATTATTATTATTATATATAATATTAAGAAATTTGGATTTGTATATAACCAATAATAGATTTTAGAAAAAAACTACATTAAATAATTATTTTAAATAAACATCTATATTTATATATATCTACAAAGTAGAATCAAGATTGGTTGACGTGACATCTCATGGATGCAGAGATCTTATTTTCCTCTTTGTTCCAGATTTTGACTTTTATTCCCTTAGCAATTTTGCAAATTAATGTTCACATTTAACTTAAAACCCCTTCCTCTTCTCTTGGTACGTTTCAACTCCAATCTCTGAATCCCTCATTTTCTGGTTTTTTTTATTTATGTATTCTCCATCTCCATGTACGAGTTATAAACTACTGGTACACTCTGCTCTTCTTTTTCATCTCTTGCATAGTTTTTTTTTTTTACTTCGATCAAGGTTCTCCATCCGTTTTTCATAGTAGCTACTCTATGGCCTATGCAACAAAGGATTCACAACATATATGGATTATATGCTTGTTGACAGTAACCATAGATTCACAACATAGGGTTGTTGACAAGGAGTTTTGATGCCTTTCATCATAAATCCACATAGGAACCAGGTGATAGATTTTTTTGTCAATTCCTTTAGTAGGAAACCTATTAGGAGGTGAAGTTGGTTATTTTGGTTATTAATTCATAAAAGTTATAAACTTTTTATAGGTTGAGTATTGTTTCAGTAGGATATTTTTTTGTTGGATAACAAGAAAGCATAAATATGCTTATATTTTCAACCGTAAGGCTTAAATGTACTTGGTCTGTGCTTTCTCATATCTCAATTTAGGCTCTTTTTCATATCAATTCGTAAAGAGAATCATATAACCGTTAATATGGTATCTTTTAAACATGAGAATCGTTGCTTTCTTTTTTCTCAATATAGGCTCTTTTTTGGTATCTGTTCGTACCGGGATTTTTTTTTCACATTTAACTCCAAGTTATTCATCTTATCTTGTCACCTCTTCTTGATTTTTCTCTGTCTCTCAAGTCCTAATCTCTACCTAGAGTTCCTTTACTTTTGTCTTCTTGGTCTCCCATAATGTGGTTTTCACTTCCCTAATTAAGACTTTTTTATATTTTCAACCATAAGGCTTAAATGTACTTGGTTTGTGTTGGATTCAATGTTTTGTGCTTATGATGTTGTATTCAAGCATTTTATTTCCTTTGTAATTTTCCTTGTCTAAATAAGTGTGTTCCTTTGTCTTTGGATTGTAACTTGTATTTGAGAACTTTGATTGTAATCTTTTGAAGGATTTGTGACATACCCCAAACTCCACATTTGCATATAACATATATTTCATATAAAAGAGATACAGGTTACACCACATTGATCCCACTAGTACAGAGTTTCTATATCTATAGAATTCACAACTAAAAAATTCCAAAAGAAAACACTGAACTATCACATGAATGACTACATGTATCTTCACGATAACAGATTGGTCTTCAAGACAGCAGATAAGCATATAAGGAAAATAATCAGATTTTCCCCTTCCCTTAACATCCCAAGACCCTGCTAGTCCTGCAATGCATATTTAAAAAATACAAAATGAGGGTTAGACCGAAAGGTCTAGTAAGGTAACCCTTTCTCTGCAATTACAATGTGAAGATCACCAAAATTTATTTAAAATCAACTTTTCATGTAAACAAAATCATGATCTCAGAAATTTATATCACGTATAAATACAGAGGTGTGAAACTCCTATGGTTCAACTGGTCAGAACTCCCCGAGTTCTTAAAGACCAGAGCTCCTCTGTCACCAAGGGATAGAGTTCTTTTATTAAACATCTCCTCTAGTTTCCCAAAGCTTCTACTCCGACCAACCAGAGCTTCTATACTTAAACTCTCAAAATGACAAGTCTTTTATTTAACCAGAACAGAAATTTTAAGAAAAAGAATTATTAAATATATAACGAGAGCTAGTATGGTTGAACCAACTTTGATTTCTCAAATTAAAGAATCACAAGGTGAAGATGGTGAATTATGGGGGGTTGTGCAAAAGTTGAAAAATGATCTAAAATCTCAATTTCAAGTTGACAAGGATGGTATTATTTGGTTTTGAGATCGACTTTGTGTACCTGATGTTCCTGTTGATCCTCTCTCTCAGTGATTTGATGATAATCCCTTTTTCCTTTCATGTTGTATTTGTGTTTCTGTATTTTCAGTTCCAGCGATCATCACTGAGTATGTT